GGGGGCGGCAGGGGGCGGCACGGGGCGGCACGAGGGCGGCACGGGACGGCACGGGAGATGCACGGGGCGGCACTGGGGCGAGAAGCCCGCAGGCATGGCCAGATGGTTCGAGCATCTAAGAGCGGTTCATATTCCGTCTTTTGGGGTTTATATATACATACATTCATACTTGTTGATTCGTTTTGTTTGCATATTGGTAAATATGTAAGTATGTATGTATGCATGCATGTACGTACGTATGTATGTACGTATGTGTGTATATATATATGAATACAGGTGCAACTGCATGTATGTACGTATGCATGCATGTATGTATTTAAGCTGGTATATACATATATCTGTGTGTATTTTTTGCATGCATCTATGTATCCATCGTTGTGTGCATGTATGCACGTATGTACATACGTACGTTTGTTTGTACATAATACATGTTTGCATCTACGACTGTAGGCATACATGTATGTATGTATGTATGCATGTATGCATGTATGCATGTATGTATGCATGCATATATGCATGTATGCATGTATGCATGTATGCATGTTTGTTTGTATGTATGTATGTATGTATATATGTATGTATGTATTTATGTATGTATGCATGCATGCATGTGTTTATGCATGTGTTTATGTATGTATGTATGCATGTAGGTATGTATGTATGTAGGTAGGTATGCAGGTATGTATTTATGTATGCATGTATGTATGTATGTAGGTATGTATGTATGAATGGATGTATGTATGCATGCATGTATGTATGCATGTATGTATGTATGCAGGTGTATGTATGTATGTATGTATGTATGTATGTATGTATGTATGTATGTATGTACGTACGCACGTACGTACGTACGTATGTATGTATGTATGGTATGTATGTATATATAATATATATATATATATATATATATATATATATATATATATATGCATGCATGTATGTATGTGGGTATGTGCGTGTATGTGTGCGTGCGTTTGTCTCTCTGGCGACGCCGCCCCGCGCCGTTGCAAAAGGGCTACCCAGCAGCCTGGCCGCCCCGTGCGCTCCCAGCGGCGCCGCCGCGTGAGAACCCCCCCTCCCGCCCTTACCCTCAGCGGCCGCCTCTTTTCGTCGTTTCCTTCGGAGGTGGACAGAACCCCCACCTTGACATGTCGATTGATGACGCGTGCGTTTTCGGTTCTCGAGAGGGCGCCGCGGCCGTCGTTTTCCAGGCTTGCGCCCGTCAGGTCTGGGCCCAAGGTCGCTTTTATGAAACCACGCTTTGCCGAAGGGGGTTGTCTCCACACCAGATCCCTTCCCTCCTTGCACGCGGGACAGCTCGCAACGCCGTAGCCGGGGGTTGCTGTGCGCGCGAGCGGGTCGCCTCTGCCGCGCCGCGACGGAAAGTGTTTGTGTGTGTGTTTGTGTGCCTTGTTTCTCAGCGTTCTTGCGCGCCTGCACGCCCGGGGCTCCGCGGCCTGCCAGGAGGCTGGGCGTTGTTGGCGCGCGCCTGCACGCCTGCTCGCTTGGCGCAGCCGCCCAGCTGCGATGCCTTTTGTGGCACGTGCGCGCCCGTCTGCAGCCCACTCCTTCGGTGGCAAGTCGTGGGAGCCTGGTATACCCTCTTCGCCCCGTCATCAGCGTCGGTTCGCGTCGACTACCGTCGACTTAGCGTCGGTGAGCGTCGGTTGCCGTCGATTCAGCGTCGATTTAGCGCCAAGTTAGCGTCGATTCGCGTCGATTCGCAAAGACAAAAAAATTGTATGGGAGGCTCCCGTGAGTTGCCACCGAAGATTTCAGCGCCCGCTACGGTGACGTCGCCTGGCCGGTGGAGGAGCAAGAGTGTGTCTTGTTGGTCTCCTATCTTCGGGTCCCAGTTGCGCGGGCCAGCCTTCGTGCTTGCCGCGGCCAGTCTCTTGCCGCTACGCGCATGCGGCGTCGTTTTTTTGGCGCGCTTTAAGCAATTCTCCTGCATTTTTCGCGGCCACCCGTGTCATCCACTATGTTCGATACAGTCGTCGCGCGCCGACTCACATTTTGGGCCGTGCCCCTACGAAACATGCTTGGTGATAGGATAACTTACATGATAGTGCCCCTTGCTATCATTCGCGACAGCACCGTCACCTCGCTGGTGGAGGAAAACAGTGTGTGTGTGTGTGTGTGTCTGGTAATAGCCCATGGCGCGCCCCGCTATCTGCCTCGCTGAGCCGGATTCGCCCACTTCGGAGCAACACGTTTGTGTGTATGTGTGTGTGTGTGTTTTATGTCTGTATGCCCGGTTCGTACTCTGACTGTCTCCGCCTATTCACCGCGCGCGAGGCCGCTACCGCCAATCATCATGCGTGTGTGTGTGTGTGTGTGTGTGTGTGTGTGTGTGTGTGCGTGCGCGCGTGCATGCATGCGTGAGTGCGCGCGTGCGTGTGTGTGTGTGTGTGTGTGTGTGTGTCTGTGTGTGTGTGTCTGTGTGTGTGTGTGTGTGTGTGTGTGTGTATGCGTGCGTGTGTGTCTGTGCGTGTTTTAGTCATTGTTTTGCCCCTGTGCGCTTGCTGGGGATTCCAGTTTTGCCAGTGCTCCACAAGGGAACGGATCCTAGTTGCTGGCAACCCCACACCAGGCGGGTTGGAACTGTTTGCATGTGAGAGAGCGTGTGTGTTTGTATTTCCTGCTACGCTCCACAGTTCAGCGGTCGGCTGCGTCGGGCCTTCGCTCGGACTCCTCTACGTTCTGTATATGTTCACAAAAGATAGTCGAACTATCTTGGCAGTGTCCTTGCTCGACCTTTCACCGTGGGGTGTGACCCGCCAGCGTGTCTGTGTGTGTGTGTGTGTGTGTGTGTGTGTGTTTGTCTGAGTGAGTGAGTGAGTGAGTAAGTGAGTGAGTTTTTTGGCGCAATTTGGGCCTCCTCTGGCTCTCGGAGGCGTTCGATGGCCTCTGGGAACCTTCGGAGACCCTCGCAGGAAGAGTGGGTCAGCTGGAGCTGAGGGAGAGGGAGATAGCCAGAAGGAATACTTCGTTGATGGCAAGCATTTCGGGAGTGCATCGTTCAGAGCTGGCGTGCGAGGGGTGCCGCCAGAGGTGTCAAGGGCACTGGGGGAGGAGTGACGTTTGGACAGTGTCTAGCTCAACGCGGTGTTGGTTCGTATGTTAAGGCTGGGCCTGGGTCTTCAGCTGTCCGCGGTACGGGGGACGGGGTCGCGCCAACATGGGCGACGATTGTTCGGATTGCGAGGCGAGCGTTTCAGAAACAGTGGCGCGCTGACGTGTGACCTCCCGTGCGTGATCCTGACCAGGAGGTTCTCTGCGCTTGCATCCCGCAGAGGGTGATGGCACGTGGGGGGCAGAGGGCCAGGCGGACGGCGTGGTAGCCGTGCGCATCCCGGGGCAAATCGCGGCGCGTGAGTGGGACATAGGCACTTTCTCTGGTGTCATGTGGCACGTCTCAGGTGTACAGCGGCCGCCTCGGTTCTGCAGTGTCTCCCATATGGGTCGAAGTATGGAAGGAAGGAGGATGAGGAAGCGGAGGAGTTGAAGGAAGAGGAGGAGGAGGAGGAGGAGGAGGGAGGAGGAGGAGGAGGAGGAGGAGGAGGAGGAGGAGGAGGAGGAGGAGGAGGAGGAGGAGGAGGAGGAGGAGGAGGAGAGGAGGAGGAGGAGGAGGGAGGAGGAGGAGGAGGAGGCGAGGAGGGAGGAGGAGGAGGGAGGAGAGGAGAGGAGGAGGAGGAGGAGGAGGGAGGAGGGAGGAGGAGTGAGAGGAGGAGGGGGACGAGGAGGAGGGTTCGGGTCGAAATGGCGATAGGCGGGCGCCGACGCGCGTGGCACGGGGGACTCGGAACAGATGCAGGGAGATTAATGTGGGACCAGGCCTCGCAGCGGTTGAGATTGGTGCGCTTCCAGTGCGCTGGGGACGCAGGCAGTCATGATCCGCCGCCGGCTTCAAGCAGCGCTGCGTTCGACGGGTGGTGCTCCCGCGACCCTCCCCGCTCGCTCGGTGGCACGGCTGTTCTTTTCTGCCTGTTCTTTCGAGCTTCGAGCCCTGCCTTCCCCGAGTGGGGCTGCAGGATGTACTGGCTCCTGGTGAAGCCCCTGGAGGACGCGCCTCGCAACTGCCCCATGCTCTGCTGCAAGAGCGCCTGCCGCTGTCGCCTTTAGTTGTCTCGACTGTAACAAAACGGCATAACCATAAGCTTTCGGAGCTCTGCGCCGATTTCTTGGATCGGTGCGGAGCTTCGACACATTTATGCTTATGCTACCCTATGTCCTCCCAGCACGAGCACCTGCCGCTGTGGCCGTCTTTGTTTCCTCACGCATCACACGACGGCTTCCTTGCGCTCCGAATGCGCAGTTTTTGTTAGCTTGGGGGCCTCCTTGGGCTTCTTGGAGGCCTTTCGGGGCTTCTCGGGGGCCTCTTTCGCCGTCTTAGGGCGTTCGTGGCCCGTCTGACGCTGTCGGAAGCCCTCTTGGTGGCCTCTTTGGGCCCATTTGGGGTCTCTTGGGGTGCTCCACGGCCGTCTTAAAGGTCATCTCGGGCGTTTTGGAGGCCTCTTGGGCCGTCTTGGGGCCCTCTTGGGGCCGTCTTGGGGACCTCTTGGGCCGTTCTGGGGTCGGAAGGCCGAAAAGGAGCAAATTCCCAAATCCTTCAAAAACCTCACGAACATCAGTGATGTTGGCCTCTTCGGGCCTTCCTGGAGGCCCCCGTGGAGCCCTCTTGGGCCGTCCCAGAGACCTCCGGGGGACCTTGGGCCATCTCGGGCCATCTTGGAGCCATCTTGGGCTGTCTTGGTGGGCTCCTGACCCTTCTGACGCTGTCGGAAGCCGTCTTGGGGACCCCTCTGGGCCGACTCAGGGCCCTCTTGGGGTGCTCCAGGGCCGCCTTGGAGGCCATCTTGGGCGTCTTGGAGGCCTCTTGGGCCGTCTTGGGGCCCTCTTGGGGCCGTCTTGGGGGCCTCTTGGGCCGTCATGGGGCCGTCTTGGGGGCCTCTTAGGCGATCTTGGCGCGATCTTTTGGGGCTCTTGGGCCTTCTCGGGCCGTCGGAAGGCCGAGAAGAAGCAAGATGCCTAGATCTTGCAACAACCTGAGGGCAATCAATGATGTTGTCCTCTTCGGGCCTTCCTGGAGGCCCTCTTGGAGCCCTCTTGGGCCGTCTTGGAGGCCTCTTGGGGGCCTCTTGGGCCTTCCTCTTGGGCCGTCTTGGGCCATTCTGGAGCCATCTTGGGCCGTCTTGATGGCCTCTTGGCCCGACTGACGCCGTCGGACGTCGAATTTGGGGGTCTGTCTCCGCCGACTTGGAATGCTCCAGGGCCGTCTTGGAGGCCATCTTGGGTGTCTTGGATGCCTCTTGGGGCCCTCTTGGGGCCGTCTTGGGGGCCTCTTGGGCCGTTCTGGGGCCATCTTGGAAGCCTCTTGGGCGATCTTGGAGCGATCTGTGGGGGCTCTTGGGCCGTCTCGGGCCGTCGGAAGCCGAAAAGGAGCAAATGTCAAATCCTTGAAAAAATCTTAGGCACATCAGTGATGTTCGCCTCTTCGGGCCTTCCTGAAGGCTCTCTTGGAGGCCTCTTGGGCCGTCTTGGAGGCCTCTTGGGGCCCTCTTGGGCTGTCTGCTGTCGTCTTGAGGCCATCTTGGGCCTTCTTAGAGGCTTCTCTGGCAAACTTGGAGGCATCCTGGGCGCTCTTGGGCCGACTTGGAGGCCATCTTGGACTATCTTGGGCGAACTTCGGAGCCACCTTGCCCTCTTCGAGGCCTTCTTGAGCCATCTTGGGGGATTTGTTGCGGACGTTGAGGTTGTTTGCGGTCCCCTCTGGGTGGCCAGCGAGACAGGCCGAAGTCCCAGGAGGGTTTGTTCTTGAAAAAGAACCAGAAGCAAGCCGTAAGAAGTCCAGCACGCCGGGCATCCCTGTGGCAAGACCACGGGGCTGCGGATCGAAGACGTCTACGGCGAATCACCGCCGCCCCCTGCCCCTTTGGAAGCGCCTCTGTGGCCGACAGCTGGGCCAGAGCTTGGCCAAGCTATCGGGCCAGTTGTTCCCCGAGTCGGTTCGGGAAGACTTCGGGGAACGCATGGGGGAGCAAGAAGAGGAGAATGGGGGAGGATGAGGAAAAAAGGAGGAGGAGGAGGAGGACGAGGCCTCTTGGGCGCCCCTTAGGGCACTCTTGGGGCCTCCTGGGAGCTTCCTGGGGGCCTCTTCAAGGGTTTTTGGGGGCCTTTGGGGGCTTCTTGGGGGCCTCTTTGACAGTCTTAGGGCGTTCCTGGCTTGTCTGACACAGTCGGAAGCCGTCTTGGGGGCCTGTCTGGGTCGTATTGGGGCCCTCTTGGGGCATATTAGAGGTTCTTAGAGGCCATCTTGGGCGTCTTGGAGGCCTCTTGGGCCGTTTTGGGACGCTCTTGGGGCCGTCTTGGGAGCCTTTTGGGCCGTCATGGGGCGATCTTGGAGGCCTCTGGGGCGATCTTGGTGGCCTTTTGCGCCGTCTTGAGCCGTTGGAGTGCCGAGAAGAAGCAAATGCCCACATCTTGCAACAACCTGAGGACAATCAATGATTTTGGCCTCGTCGTGCCCTCCTGGAAGACCTCTTGGACGCCTTTGGGGCTGTCTTGGAGGCCTCTTGGGGGCCTCTTGGGTCGTCTTGGGCCATCTTGAGGCCATCTTAGGCCGTCTTGGGTGCATCTTGGGCCGACTTGGAGGCCATCTTGGGGCCATCTTAGCCGTCCTGGAGGCCATTTTAGCCCTCTTGGAGGCCCCTTGGGCCCTCTTGGGGCCGTCTATGGGGCCTCTTGGGCCGTCATGGGGCCATCTTGGAGGCCTCGTGAGTGATCTTGGGGCGATCGTGAGGCCGTCTTGAGGACCTCTTTGAGGTCTCTTGGACCGTCTTAGAGACCTCTTGGGGGCCTCTTGGGCCGTCTGAGGCCGTCTGGAGGCCATCTCAGGCCGTCTTGGGTGCATCTTGGGCCGACTTGGAGGCCATCTTGGGGCCATCTTAGCCGTCTTGGAGGCCATTTTGGGCGTCTTGGAGGCCTCTTGGGCCGTCTTGGGGCCCTCCTCTTGGGGCCGTCTTGGGGGCCTGTTGGGCCGTCATGGGGCCATCTTGGAGGCCTCGTGGGCGATCTTGAGGCGATCGTGGGGGCCTCTTGGGCCATCTTGAGGCGTCGGAAGGCCAAAAAGAAGCAAATGCCAAAGTCTTTCAAAAACCGAAGGAAAATACATAATTTTGGCCTCTTCGCCCCCTTCTGGAGGATCTCTTGGAGTCCTTTGGGGCTGTCTTGGAGGCCTCTTGGGGGCCTCTTCGGCCGTCTTGGGCCATCTTGAGGCCATCTGAGGCCGTCTTGCGTGCATCTTGGGCCGTCTTCGAGGCCATCATGGCCGTCTTGGAAGGATCTTGGAGGCTATCTTGGGTCATCTTGGAGCAATCTGGGGCAGGAAAACCCTCGGCAACCACCTCTGGAAGATCCTTTCGAGTGGCCGGCGGGACGCGCCGGAGCCCCAGGGGGAGTTCTTTTGGAAAAGAGCCAAAACCCAAACCGAAAGGATTTGGCACGCCAGGCACCCCTCTTGCAAGCAACAGGGGGCGGCGGATCGAAGACGCCTACGGCGAATCACCGCCGCCCCCTGCCTTTTTGGAAACGCCGATGTGGCCGAAAGTTGGATTAGAGCTTGGCCAAGCTATCGGACCATGAGTTCCCCGAGTCGGTTTGGAAAGCTTTCGGGGAACACATGGGAGAGAATGATTATGAACAGGAAGAGGAAGAGGAAGAAATAGAGTAGGAGGATGAGGGTTGTTAGGAGTCTCTTGGGGCACCCTTGGGGTCTGTTGGGAGCTTCTTGGGGGCCTCTTCGAGGCCTCTTGGAGGCATCTTGGGGGCCTCCTTGGGCCTCTTGGGGGCCTTTGGGGGCTTCCTGGGGGTCTCTTTGGCCGTCTTAGGGCGTTCCTGGTCCGTCTGACGCCGTCTGGAGCCGTCTTGGGGGCCTCTCTGGGCCGTCTTGGGGCCCTCTTGGGGCGCTTCAGGGCCGTCTTGGAGGCCATGTTGGGCGTCTTGGAGGCCTCTTGGGCCGTCTTGGGGCGCTCTTGGGGCCGTCTTGGGGGGCCCTTGGGCCGTCATAGGGCCTTCTTGGAGGCCTCTTGGGCGATCTTGGGGGCCTCTTGGGCCGTCGGAAGGCCGAAAAGAAGAAAACGCAAACAACCTTGAAAAACCTAAGGAAAACCAATGATTTTGGCCTCTTCGGGCTCTCCTGGAGAACGTCTTGGAGGCCTCGTGGGCCATCTTGGAGGCATCTTGGGGCCATCTTGGCCGTCTTGGAGGGCATCTTGGGCCGTCTTGGAGGCATCTTGGAGCCATCTTACCCGTCTTGGAGGCCATCTTGGCCGTCTTGGAAGCATCTTGGAGGCCATCTTGGGCCATCTTGGCCGTCTTGGAGGCCATCTTGGGCCAAGTTGGGGCAACAAAGGCATTGACAGATGGATTTTCGGAAACTTACGGGTGGCCGGCGGGACGGGCCGAAGCCCACTGGGGAGTTCTTTTAGAAAAAGAACCAACACCAAAACTGAATCATCCAGCACGCCGTGCACCCCTGCAAGCAGGGGGCGGCGGATCGAAGACGCCTACGGCGAATCACCGCCGCCCCCTGCCTTTTTGGAGACGCCGATGTGGCCGAAAGTTGGATTAGAGCTTGGCCAAGCTATCGGACCATGAGTTCCCCGAGTCGGTTTGGAAAGCTTTCGGGGAACACATGGGAGAGAATGATTATGAACAGGAAGAGGAAGAGGAAGAAATAGAGTAGGAGGATGAGGGTTGTTAGGAGTCTCTTGGGGCACCCTTGGGGTCTGTTGGGAGCTTCTTGGGGGCCTCTTCGAGGCCTCTTGGAGGCATCTTGGGGGCCTCCTTGGGCCTCTTGGGGGCCTTTGGGGGCTTCCTGGGGGTCTCTTTGGCCGTCTTAGGGCGTTCCTGGTCCGTCTGACGCCGTCTGGAGCCGTCTTGGGGGCCTCTCTGGGCCGTCTTGGGGCCCTCTTGGGGCGCTTCAGGGCCGTCTTGGAGGCCATGTTGGGCGTCTTGGAGGCCTCTTGGGCCGTCTTGGGGCGCTCTTGGGGCCGTCTTGGGGGGCCCTTGGGCCGTCATAGGGCCTTCTTGGAGGCCTCTTGGGCGATCTTGGGGGCCTCTTGGGCCGTCGGAAGGCCGAAACGAAGAAAACGCAAAAAACCTTGAAAAACCTACGGAAAACAACTGATTTTGGCCTCTTCGGGCTCTCCTGGAGAACGTCTTGGAGGCCTCTTGGGCCATCTTGGAGGCATCTTGGGGCCATCTTGGCCGTCATGGAGGGCATCTTGGGCCGTCTTGGAGGCATCTTGGAGCCATCTTACCCGTCTTGGAGGCCATCTTGGCCGTCTGGGAGGCATCTTGGAGGCCATCTTGGGCCATCTTGGCCGTCTTGGAGGCCATCTTGGGCCAAGTTGGGGCAACAAAGGCATTGACAGATGGATTTTCGGAAACTTACGGGTGGCCGGCGGGACGGGCCGAAGCCCACTGGGGAGTTCTTTTAGAAAAAGAACCAAAACCAAAACCTGAATCGTCCAGCACGCCGTGCACCCCTGTGGCAAGACCACAGGGGGCGGCGGATCTAATGGCTTTCGGCCCATCCCGCCACCGTGCCTGGGTTTGTGGGTATGAAGCCTATTGGATGTTCGTTGAGATCTCGTGGGAGGCCTCTCGGGGGCCTCCTGGAGGCAGTTTGGAGGCCTCTTGGGGGGTTGTTTGGGGGCCCCTTGGGGCCTCCTTTGGGGGTCTTGGGCGCTTCTTGGGGCCTCCTGGGGGCCTCTTGGGGCGGAAGACTCGGATTTTCGGTTCGTTTTCCTTCTCTTGGGCCTCTTTTGGGGACGTTTTGGGGCCCTCTTGGGCCGTCTTGGGCCGTCTCGCTCTTATGCTGTCTTGGGGCCCTCTTGGAGACCTCTTGGGTCGTTTGGGGGTGGTCTTGGGGGCCTCTTGGGCCGTCTTGGAGCGTTGGAAAGCCGAAAAGGCGAGAACGCCAAAATCAGTCAAA